AGCGCTCGGGACGGCCCCGCCCCCGCGGCCCTCCACGCGCCCCCGCCCCGGGGAGTTACCTCCTTGCTCAGGCCCGTGGGCTGCTTCTTCACGTTCTTGTAGCCACTGTGAGGGAATCGGGGCGGGCGTCAGGGGAACGGACCTCGTCCCAGCACGAGTCCTCGGCGCCCCGGCCCTTCTCCGGAGGGCCCCGCCCGCGCGAGTCCCCGCAGCTCCGCCCCGTCCAGCCGGGCCCCCCGCCCTCGCCCCCGGCCCCAAGCAGCCCCCGCCGCGCCGCCCAAGCCCCGCCCGCCGACACTCACAGCGCGGCCAGCAGCGCCTCGCGCTCCGCCTCCCGCACGGCCGCCAGCTCCTCCTCGCGGCTCGGGCCCGCGCACGGCGCCCGGCCCTTGGCGTACCAGGTGAGGTCGCGGCCCTTCTGCCAGCGGCCTACGGGCGCCATCAGCGAGTTGCCTGCGGACGTAGGCGCCGTGAGCCCGGCGCCCGCCGGGGAGCCCGGAGCCCGGAGCCCGCCCGCCGCGCCCACCCACCCAGGTAGTTCTCCCGCTGCTTGTCGGTCTTCACGTCCTCCCAGTTGAACTGATCCTGACCGCCGCGCACGCCTCCGCGACTGGAGCCGAACATGGTGCTGGGGCGACCGCGGCCCGCGACCGCGGACCCGCTGCCCCTACCGTCGGACCCGCGCCGGCCCCGCCTCCGCGTCGCGCGCCGTGACGTCACGCCTGAGCCCGCTCCGCTTCGTCACGTGCGCCTGCGCGGCGCCCGACTCCGCGCTCCGCCCCGCCCCCGCGCGCCTGCGCGCTGCTGCACCGGCCCGGCCCGGCGCGGGGACGCCTCCGAACTGCACTGCGCGTTCGCCCAGGACGGAAACGGGCGGGTCGCTGGAGGCCGGGAGTTCCCGGCCAGTTTGGCCAACACCGTGAAACCCCGTCTCTACTAAAAGCGCAAAAATAGTCCGGGCGTGGTGGTGCGCACCTGCAGTCCCAGCCCCTCAGGAGGCCGAGGCAGGAGAATCACTTGAACCCGGGAGGTGGAGGTTGCAGGGAGCCGAGATGGCGCCGCTGCGCTCCAGCCTGGGCGACAGAGCGAGACTGTCTCAAAAAAAGAAGGTTAAAACGGGCCGGGCACGCGCGCGCTTCCAGTCCCAAAGGGACTACGGGAGGGTCGCTTGAGCCCAGGAGATCCCTGTCTCGTTAAAAAGAAAGAACACACACGAGACAGCCTGGCTACCGCCGTCCACCGGGCACTGCCAGCCGCGAGGCCCTGCGGGGAGCCGCACAGGGGAATGCCCTTGAGGATTTGTGCGATTTCTGAGGACTACCCCGTGAGCCTGTGCGTGAAAAAGCAGCTGCCAGACGCCCTCCGAGCTGGGCCTGTCCGCGCTGCGGTGCACTGAACGTGCGCTCCCACTCGAGCGCTTCAGCGGTGACGAGGTCAGGAGGGCACAGCCTTCTTAGAGGGACGCCGAGGGCTTGGGCAGCTTTCCGCGGCGGGAAGGCGGCGGGAAGGTGTGGATGGGCGACCCTGCAAGGGCCAGGGCAGAGATCGGAAGCCTCAGCCTGTTCCCGTGTAAATACTGAACTAGAAAAGAATTAGAGATGGAGTCACAGTTACTCCTATGATCGTGGTCACATATGCATGCGTCATCATATATATATATACTCAATGTAACCTTTTAATTTGGCGAATCATTCTCCGGTCATGAAGTATGGAACTGAAGTAACATTGTGAAAGAGATGACCCTAAAGCAAGATGCTTTGCTTTAGGGTCATCTCTTTAGAGTCTAAGGCAGGCGTCCCCAAACTTTTTACACAGGGGCCAGTTCACTGTCCCTCAGCCCGCTGGAGGGCCGCCACATCCTGTGCTCCTCTCACTGACCACCAGTGAAAGAGGTGCCCCTTCCTGAAGTGCGGCGGGGGGCCGGAGAAGTGGCCTCAGGGGGCCGCAGTGTGGGGACGCCTGGTCTCAGCCCTCTGTCGCACCCGCGTAAGGGCTGCTGGAGGGCGCCTCGGCTGTGCGGCAGCGCCAGCGCTGGGAAGGCGCCCGCGGTTGAGCCAGCTAGGGAAGGAGACGTGTGACGTGTCTCCTCCCTCGGACGACTTAAGAGAAAACTCTGCAGCCCGCAGGCTCTTGCGGTAGGCCTGGCGGCTGTCAGGGAGGCCTGCAGACATCCAGGAGCTTCACCGTCTCTGTGCGATGTTGTGCCTCAGCGGTTACGTTCCCTGGCTACTTTCATGTTCCGCTTCTGCACCTGGTTCCTCTTCTTAGATTAGAATTAGTAAAAGTAACATAAATCTTAATGTCTTTGTTCTTTCTTGACAAGTATGGTGCTTGTCGAAAGTGCTCAAGCCTTAGGTTTTCTCCTTGCCTTGGCTTCTCGAAAGTCCTGGGCCCCTGTCTCCAAGACACTGACCACCAATGACTCGCCCTACCTACCCTGCCCCCTGCTTTGTACAATAAAAGCCACTTGGGGCCACTGCTGGTCTCTATGTATACTGGTTAGCAGTGGACCCCTGGGCCCAGACTTTTCTCTCAGTATCTTGTGTCTTATTTCCACAGTTTCTTGTCTCTGCGCCAGTAGAGAAGGGCTCAAAGGACCCTGTAGGGCTGGACCCGATAGGAAGTGGCAGTCTGGAAGAGACCCCTCACCAGAGCCTCAGCATGCTGGGCCCCCTGATTTTGGACGCTGTGGCGTCCCCCTGCTTCCCCCTTCACTTCATTCCTAGTGCTGACCGAGAAAGAGTCCCTTGGCTGCTCTGTGACCTGGCCAGCGGTACATTTTCCTCTGCAGACTGAACCCGAGCAGCAGCCTTGAACGTTCCCAGGCACAGATGAAGCCTCCAGGTTTTCTCAAAACAGAAAGAAACTGGACCCAGCCCGAACCAGCTTCCTTAAACCCTCATATAAACTCCATTCTCCAACCCCCTCCCCGCGGATATAGCTAGAGAGAACATTCATTTCACCGCCCGTGGCAAGAACTGCTGCAGCCCACTCTGTTCGGAATCTCCCCTAATAAACGCTCTGGGCACATCCCCCTGGTGTGCTCAATGTTTCTGTAGAATCCTAACCAGCCCCATCTCAGGATGGTGTGGGGCACTCCCTTGTGGGAACCCTCCTGCCACGACTTTTGGGGCAATTCCAGCCACAGGTTGAACTGGGTGAAAACACAGGTCTAGTGTCCAGAACTGTGAGAAATCTGTTTCTCAATGACCCAGCCCATGGGTCAGGCTGTTAGAGCAGCCTGACAGACAGCTCATCGATCTACTCAGCAAGTACCGGCTGCTGCCTCCCTCCTGCAGCGCTGCCCGAGTTCGCACCGCGGAGCGGGTGCGTGGGGAGGGCAGAGCAGCAGGCCACATCCAGGCACACTGAGGGCAACTGGCCAGCTCCTGGGAAGGCTCCCTTGGGTGGAGGGCATCATCTCCTGGGTGCTGTTACAGCTTGCCAGGCCAAAATGGACTTGGCCCACGTGGCAGGGTCCGGCTGTGGAGTCTGACCACTGATTGGATGTCAGGTGTGGTTAAGGGACAGCAGGGCCAGGCGGACGTCAGGCAGGAGTCCAGGACAGCTCTGAGGCGCTGCTCTGGGCAGCTGTGAGGACGTGGCCACTTGGCAACACAAGGACCAGGTTTGTGGGGAGAGCCCAGGTCAGTTTTGAGCCCGTCAGCCTGACAAGCCATAGGCCACAGGAGGGGTCACTGGGGTGGAGGTGGCATGGCCTGTGCCTGCTGGGTGGAGGCCCGGCCGGGGGCACTAGTCACAGTGGTACCCTCTATGTAGACAGCAGTGAAGCTGGACCCAGGAGGGTGGAGGTCAGGGAGCAGAGGGGTGGTGGGGGTCCCAGGGAAGCCCACTAGAGCAGGAGTTGGCTGGGTACAGTGGAGGAAGGGCCGAGTGAGTACACAGTATGGCCAGGTAGCCAGCTCTACATGCCACAGGGATTGAGGCCACAAATTCAGAGACGGGGCTCTGTGGAACCTGCTCAGGAAATAACCCTGCCAGGCAGAGTCCCAGGTGGCCACACAGCCCATCCACATGAGGTCGGGCACTGCTGGGCCACAGGGCCGGAGTCCCAGGCAGCCACACAGCCCATCCACGTGAGGTCGGGCACTGCCGGGCCACAGGGCTGGAGGACATCCCTTGTAGGCTCTCCTCAGCACAGCTGAAGGCCAGAGGGATGAGCAAAGGGCCAGGAACCAACGTGAGGGGCAAGGGAAGGCCTGTGAGGTGGGGATGCTGCCCAGCTCCTCAGTTGACAGCACTGTCGTCGCAGGGCCGGCAGAACACACTCCCACCTCCCCGGCAACCCCAGAACAGCACTGCAAAAACTCCCTGTTGGGCACCAGGTGTCAGAGAGATGGCCTAGCAGCTGGGACCCAGTAACACCCCAAGACAGGGACAGGAAGCGGCCCGGGCCCTGAGCTGTCCAAAACCCAGGCTGGTGTGCACGTGGAAGGGACCCGCACATCAGCAAGAGCTGCTTCTGAGTGAAACCAGCCTCTGGACAGATGGAGCAGGGTCTGTGGATCCCCCTGGGCTGTGTGTAACTGCAGTGCTCTGCATAACCCATGAGGAGTCACGGACAACCAGGGCCGGCTGCTCCTCTGGGGACCCTCCCAGGGCAGAACCTTCCCGGGAGCAGTGTGGGAATGCAGGCCCAGGGCAGGAGCTGCAGGCTATGTCCACGGGAAAGGGTGGTCCTAGGGCTGCCCCACTGAAGCTGATGCCTTGAGCCCAGAAAACCCAGCCCCTCCTAGGAACCAACCGGAGGCCCACTGTGCTGTTGCCCTGGTGCCTCTGAGGCCGGGAAAGCAGAGCTTGGTGTTGGGTGCTGCCCACATGGTTGTCTGTGTGCCGCAGCCCCAGAGCAGTGTCCAAAACCCACGACCCTCACCCCGCTCATCCACGGAGCCCTCTCTACGCTGGAGCTCGTGCTTTTCAGGGGACAAGCTGCCAGGCTGGGACACACACCAAGTGAGAAGACAGAAATAGACACAGACTCCAGGTGGCAGCTTTGAGAGCGTGTGATTTAAGAACTGCTCTCCCATCTTAGCAATGTCCCAGCGTGGCTTTGACCAAGAAGCCAGTCACTTCTTGGTCTTGGCCCAGAACCGTCGGTAGCGCTCCACATCAAAGTCATCGCTGAACTCCTGCTCGTAGTCCTCCGTCTGCCGGAGCTGAGCCTCACGCTTCCGCAGCCTGGCCCGGCGCTCCTCAGGAGTCAGCGTGTCCAGATCTATCGGCATCTGCAGGAGACAGACAAGTTTCGTCCACGTGGACAGAGGGACCTTGAGAGCTACTGAGGTGACAGCCCAAGGCCTTCCTCTCAACCTGTGTCTTCCATCCTACACTAGCTTAATTTTCAAACATTCGATTGATTTCTCTCTTCAAAGCTTTCAATCTTTAAAATAAATTGTTCTGTGTTTTCACCAGATTTGATGTTTACAAGAACCAATAAGGCCAGGAACGGTGGCTCATGCCTGTAATCCCAGCACTTTGGGAGGCTGAGGTGAGAGGACTGCTTGAGCCCAGGAGTTCAAGACCAGCCTGGGCAATGCAGAGACCCCATCTCTACAAAAAAAGTCTTCAAAACAAATTAGCAAAGCATGGTGGTATGCACCTGCAGTCCCAGCTACGGGGGAGGCCGAGGTGGGAGGGCCACATGAGCCTAGAGTCAGGGCTGCAGTGAGCCGAGATTGTGCCGCTGCATTCCAGCCTGCTTGACAGAGTGAGACCCTGTCCCAAAAAATAAATTCAAAAATAAAAACACAAGCCAGGTCGGTGGCTCACGCCTGTAATCCCAGCATTTTGGGAGGCCAGGGTGGGTGGATCACAAGGTCAAGAGATCGAGACCATCCTGACCAACATAGTGAAACCACATCTCTACTAAAAAATACAAAAATTAGCTGGGTGTGGTGGCACATGCCTGTAGTCCCAGCTACTCGGGAGGCTGAAGCAGGAGAATTGCTTAAAACCAGCAGGCGGAGGTTGCAGAGAGCCAAGATCATGGCACTGCACTCCAGCCTGGCGCCTGGTGAAAAGAGTGAGACTCTGTCTCAAAAAAAAAACAAAAACAAAAAAACATACTAGTGGTTAGTCCTATCTAATGTTGGTGCTTAGAGGCACTTTTGGATGTCACCCTCCTCCACTCCTCCAACAGCCACCTGCTCTCCCAACTCCTGTCATGTAGCAGTGACCACAGCCACATTCCCTCTGAAGGCGACCGGCCACCAGCACTCCCACCACAGCCCCGCCCCAAGCCTGGCACCTGGAAGCGCCCGACGAGGAAAGCTTACCAGCAGCATGCGCCGTGGCTCCCTGTAGCGGATGTGGATGGTGGAGCCATCCTGCTTCACCAGCAGCACGGGGTAGAGGCGCGCGTAGGCCTGGCGGTGCACACGAGCGAGTGAGGCCCTGCTGCTGTCGGCCCGCCAGGCGGATGTGTGCAGGCAGCGGAGTGCAGGCCCGGTGGCCTTCACAGTGCTGCATCTCAGCAGGCTGCAGATAAACATGCAGGCACCGGTCAGTGCTGCAGCAGAGAGTCCCAACATGACTAAGGCTGGTCGTGACGGGGCACTGCCAGGCCACAGGAGACACTACCAGAGCTAGCACATGCCAGGATGAGACTAGGGGTTTCCTGAGGAGCCACAGGCTGTGGTCAGAGCCGCTCTGGCGCCCCTAGCCAGGAAGAGGCTGCCAGGCTGAGCAAGGGCATGAGGCTTCCAGCACGGGGGAAAGTGGACAACGGCTGGGACGAGGCAGGCTTAGAACTACCACTTCCTGCTGAAGACAGGGGTTCCCTGGGGTGCCCCTAACAGCAATCCCCAGGGACCTGAAAGTTCATGCTTACCCAAGCAGGCTGCCCACTGCTGCCATTCCTCCTCAGAGCCCCAGCGGCACGTGGATGTGGTCAGCACAGGCCCTGGCGTGCAACCTGCTAGGCAGAGAATTCAGAGATCCTTTTTTAAAGGAAGGTTCTTCCACCTAATGGGTTCTCATCAAATCCCAGTCCAGGATGTAGCCACAGACCCCAGTATACTTCCAAGATACATGTAATCTCCATGTCACTCATCAACCTCTCCCAGTAACCCTTGGAATTCTCAGAACCACCTGTAGTGGTATTTCCAAAAGCAGAGGTTGGTCACTGCTCCCACAGATTCTGAGACAGTCTGCAGCAGGGCCTAGGCTGTCTGTTCTGGCCGTTACGAAGTCTGGGAAACCTCTCTGAATGGACTGCAGCCTCAAAAGTGGAGATGGGCTCATGGCTCATGCCTTGGTATCTTTTTTTTTTTTGAGATGGAGTTTCGCTCTGTCACCAGGTTGGAGGGCAGTGGGCCCAATCTTGGCTCACTGCAACCTTCACCTCCAGGTTCAAGCAATTAACCTGCCTCAGCCTCCCGAGTAGCTGGGACTACAGGTGCGTGCCACCATACCTAGCTAATTTTTGTATTTTTAGTAGAGACAGGGTTTCACTATGTTGGCCAGAATGTTCTCAATCTCCTGACCTCATGATCTGCCCACCTTGGCCTCCCAAAGTGCTGGGATTACAGGCGTGAGCCACCATGTCCGGCTCATGCCTTGCTTTCTAAGGTCATTGCCAGTTTTCATAAACACCCAGTGAGGTGAGGATCGTCATGCTTGCTTACAGGAGAATGGAGACCCAGGGCGGCTTTGCTGTGACCTTGATTCCCATGGGAGGCTGTGCTGTGGTGTCCGAGGTAAAAGCCAGTTTCCAATACTCAGATTCCAGGAGACGAGGCTGCACGGAGGCCGAGCGCCCGGCTTCCTCCTCGGGTGTACCCCTATCTCCCACACCAACGAAGGACCTGAAGACAGGTCCTGCTGTATCTAAAACGGAAATCCTGCTCCGTGTCCTATGCCCACATCCCTCTCTCTCAGCCTCACCAGCACAGGAGCCTGCGGCTGGTCCAGGAGGGTCTTTGGGGGAAGCTCCCTTCCCGCTAGAACCCACGGGGACAAGGGCCCAGGACAGATGCAGCCCCCTGTCCCCTTCCCTGCCTCCCTCCCTCCCGACTCCACGGGGAGAAGGGCCCAGGACAGGTACAGCGCCCGTTTCTGCTCCCGGCCACACGAGGTGCAACCTGCGACACGAGGTGCCGCCTCTGTCGCTGCGGAGGGGCCCGAGGACATGCGGTCTGGACTTCCAGGTAGGAAACTAAGGCAAGGACGAAGACACGCAGGAAGTCGCGGCACACTCACCACCTTTCACGCTGCGGCGCGCAGCCCGCGACGTCACTGGCAGACGCCGTGTCGCACGGTATGACGTAACCCGCGGCGCGGCGAGGCACGAAGACACACCCCCCACTGGGCGGGGCCGGCGCGGGGTGACGTAATCGTGGGCGTGGTCTGTGGGACGCTGCGGCTTACCGGGACCGAGGTGGGCGGAGCGGCGGTGACCTCCGTTCCTACGGCGCGCGCCAGGGCAGGCAGGCGGGGTCGAGGGGGACCCGCGGGACCGAGGGAGGATCCGCGGGGCTGAGGGGGGCCCCAGGTGGGGCTGAGGGGGGACCCGCGGGGCTGAGGGGGGACCCAGGTGGGGCTGAGGGGGGACCCGCGGGGCTGAGGGGGGACCCAGGTGGGGCTGAGGGGGGACCCGCGGGGCTGAGGGGGGACCCAGGTGGGGCGGAGGGGGGACCCGCGGGGCTGAGGGGGGACCCAGGTGGGGCTGAGGGGGGACCCGCGGGGCTGAGGGGGGACCCAGGTGGGGCGGAGGGGGGACCCGCGGGGCTGAGGGGGGCCCCAGGTGGGGCTGAGGTGGGACCCGCGGGGCTGAAGGGGGCCCCAGGTGGGGCTGAGGTGGGACCCGCGGGGCTGAGGGGGGCCCCAGGTGGGGCTGAGGGGGGACCCAGGTGGGGCTGAGGGGGGCCCCAGGTGGGGCTGAGGTGGGACCCGCGGGGCTGAGGGGGGACCCAGGTGGGGCGGAGGGGGGACCCAGGTGGGGCTGAGGTGGGACCCGCGGGGCTGAGGGGGGCCCCAGGTGGGGTTGAGGGGGGACCCGCGGGGCTGAGGGGGGACCCAGGTGGGGCGGAGGGGGGACCCGCGGGGCTGAGGGGGGCCCCAGGTGGGGCTGAGGTGGGACCCGCGGGGCTGAAGGGGGCCCCAGGTGGGGCTGAGGTGGGACCCGCGGGGCTGAGGGGGGCCCCAGGTGGGGCTGAGGGGGGACCCAGGTGGGGCTGAGGGGGGCCCCAGGTGGGGCTGAGGTGGGACCCGCGGGGCTGAGGGGGGACCCAGGTGGGGCGGAGGGGGGACCCAGGTGGGGCTGAGGTGGGACCCGCGGGGCTGAGGGGGGCCCCAGGTGGGGTTGAGGGGGGACCCGCGGGGCTGAGGGGGGACCCAGGTGGGGCTGAGGGGGGACCTGCGGGGCTGACGGAGGTTCCAGGGGAGCTGAAGGGGACACGGCGGGCGGACTGAGGGAGGACCCAGGGGAGCTTAAGTGGGACACACAGGACCAGAGTTCAAGGCCAATCTGGCCAACGGGGTGAAACCTGGTCTCTACTAAAAAAAAAAATACAAAAATTAGCCAGGCATGGTGGTGTGCGCCTCTAATCTCATCTACTCGGGAGGCTGAGGCAGGAGAATTGCTTGAACCCGGGAGGCGGAGGTTGCAGTGAGCAGAGATGGCGCCACTGCACTCCAGCCTGGGTGACAGAGCAAGACTTCGTCTCAAAAAAAAAAAAAAAAAGTTCCTTGGCCAAGGAGGAAGTCCATTTAGATGGTTGGGGAGCCTTAGAATTTTATTTTTTATTTTTGGTTTACATTTGATTTAAAAAACCTTCAGCCGAATTAAATTTAAAGTTTAATTGGGCAATGAAGGATTCATGAATCGCACAGCCCCCAGAATCACAGCAGATTGACAGAGACTCCAGTGCAGTCACATGGTGGAAGATATGTAGACAAAGAAAAATAACTGCTGTACAGAAATTGAAAGGGAAGTACAGAATGGCTGCATTAGTTATAGGTTGGCGTTTGCCTTATTTGAACACAGTTTGAACCCACAGCAGTGTATGAATGAAGTCCAGCCTCAGGGACTGGCCAGAACTCAGCTATTGCTACAGCTGCATACTCCTGTTAGGTTTTGAATCTGTCTATCTATTAAGCGAGGTTGCAGTTCCTCCATAAAGACTCAAATATAGAAGTATGAAGTCCTTCTCAGGCCACGTTTAGTTCATTTTAACAACTCCCCTCTTTTGGTCATTTTCTCAATTTTGAGAGATTGACCAAAACTTTAGTTATGGTTGTCACTATCCCCATTGTAAATGTAGTAATTTGCTCCTGAAACCCACTGGAAAACAGTAGAACCGTCAGTTTTCCAAAGGTAGGAACAAGGATTGAGAGAACATGTATCGAGTGCCTCTCCTCTTTCCCTTTGTGTTCGTCATTTTGGTGAATTACTGGAAGATGGAGGTTCTGGCCGAAAGCAGGCCTTTAGGTTTCTAAGGAAAAATTACAACTGGTAAAAACCCAGGAAAAATATTTAGGCCACCCAATTTCACAAAGTGGACCACAGTCAGACCCAGATTGCATACAAGACATTTTATAATTCCTGAAATCCAGAACTGGGCACCCGCTCTGTGGACTTCTTGGGCCTGCTGGATCACCAGGTCTTCTATTCTGGCCCAACCCCTCTGCTAAAATCACCAAACCTGACCCCATCGTTTGGGAAGAGCCAGTAGATGTGGCTTTTGACAAGCTAAACCGGGAATTTTCTTAAATCCCCCAGCCTTAGGACACCCTAATTATCAACTGCTATGGTTTGAATGTTTGTCTCTTCCAAAACTCATGTTGAAACTTCATCCTCAGTGTAGCAGTATTGAGAAGTATGGCCTTTAGGAGGTGATTATCAGGAGGGTTCTGTTCTCATGAACGGATTAATCTATGCATGGATTTGGGGACTGATGGGTTAATGGATTACAGGGCTATCCTGGGAGTGAGACTGCCGTCTTTATAAGAGGAAGAGAAACACCCTCACCATGTGATGTCCTGAGCCACCTCCCTTGGGACTCTGCAGGGAGTCCCTACCCGAAAGAAGGCCCTCAGCTGATATGCCCCCTTGATTTTGGACTTGCCAGCCTCCAGGACTGTGAGAAATAAATTCTTTTTCTTTATATATTACCCAGCCTCAGGCATTCGGTCACATCAACAGAAGACTAAGGCAACTCCTCTTCTTCTCTTGATCTTGGCCAAAAGGCCAAGAAACAACACAACCCACGTCTTCCTTTCTGTACATGAAAAAGAAGGAAGCACGCTGGCAGTTTTAACTGAAAAGCATGCAGCTGGGCATGGCTGGGGGGTTGAGGTGGGAGGATCACTTAAGACGAGTTTGAGACCAGCCTTAGCAACATAATGAGACCCCCCTCTCTAAAAACATTAAATATTAGCCAGGCATGGTAGAATACCTGTAGTCCCATCTACTTGAGAGCTGGGGTGGGAGGATCATTTGAACCCGGGAGTTGAAGGCTACAGTTATAATCCTGCCACTGCACTCCGGCCAGAGTGACAGAGTGAGACTCTGTCTCTAAAGAAAGTTGAAATTTAAAGTATTTTAAAGGATGGAGATCAGCATACTCCTATAACAGACTACAGTGAACAGTGGGACCTGGGAGCTGCGGCTCTCCTCCTTGTCCGAGGGCTATCTCTGCCACCACCCTGTGGGTCAAATCCACCAAAGAAATCGTCAGGGGATCTCCTCGGACCTTTTTTGTGGCCCACACTGTGGAAAGTCTCTCAGAGTCTCATCGTACTCAGCACTTCCATTCCAGCCACCTCACTTTTTATGAGATCCTTCTCTTAACCACTCCCCATATGACTGTCTCTTCCTGTAATAATTTTAATCCTGCTACTCTCCTTCCTCTCTACTCCGAGGCGAGATGCCACATGACTGTCTGATTTTAATGGATCGTCTTTTGACTCCCTGAAAGGATTGACAGAAAACTCCCCTGGACGACGAGAAGCTATCCCGGTTCACAGATCGCTCATGCTTGCAGGATCTCTTGCTTTGAGGCTGGGAAAGCAGCCCCTTGGCCTTCAGCCGCTTCAGCCCAGCAGGCGGGGCTATTGCCCTCACTGGAGCTCCTTGCTAAGGAGAAACTGCTGACCTTTATACAGACAGCAGGTAGGCCATTTGCAGTTGCTCATGATTTCGAAATGTGGAAGCAGGTTTTCTCACTTTCATAATGAACCTTATGATTTGTTAGATGCAATACAAATACCTGCTGCTGTGGCCATGATGAAGGTTCCAGGCCATTTGAAACTAGACTCTGTGGAGGCCACCTTGCTGAGAATATTGCTAGGAATGCTGCCCTTAAGAGTCCTACTGATTGACGGGGCACACGGGCTTATGCCTGTAATCTCAGCACTTTGGGAGGCCGAGGTAGGTGGATCATGAGGTTAGGAGTTTGAGACCAGCCTAACCAACCTGGTGAAACCCCATCTCTACTAAAAATACAAAACTTAGCCAGGCGTTAGGAGGCTGAGGCAGGAGAATCGCTTGAACCCAGGGCACAGAGGTTGCAGTGAGCTGAGATTGCTGCACTCCAGCCTGGGTGACAGAGTGAGACTCCATCTCAAAAATAAATAAATAAAAATGCGTGATCATGAAGATGAAGACACTGTAATCTGTCAATGATGTGTTGAGACCAAAAACCCAAACTGATGGTAACTGAGACGAATTTAGGTCCTAAGCATTGGTCAGGCTAGGTGAGAGCCTGATCAAAATGGGTAAAAATTTTTTTAAAAAAATCATGGGAGGCCAATGTTTTGGACTGAGCTCTTGCACTAGGACCCAACCAGAGCAGACCAAAACAAAATCAAATCACTTATGTTAAATACACATAAGTAAACAGATCCCAAAACAGACGTTTTTCCTCAGTCGGCATAAGGAAGTCCCCTTACAAAAGAGTAACCAGAAGTAAGCTAAGGTAAGTGAGCTTTTTCTTTTCTTTTTTTTTTTCTGTGGGGGGGAACCCCTCAAGAAGCAAGGCAAGGGTCTGTGGCCTCAGTCTGTTCTCATATAAATATTGAATTAGAAAAGAATTGTAGTTACATAGTTATTCCTATAATCATAATCACATAACTAGTCACATGTAATCATAAATATACATATTTACAATCATATCATCTTTAGTTTTACTAATTAAGTCTCAGGTCATGAAGTACGGAGCTGCAGTGGCATTGGAAAAGAGGTGACCTTAAGGCGAGGTGCTCTGAGCCCGCTGTCCGCCTGCATGAGGGCTGCTGGAGGGCGCCCGGCTGTGCAGCAGCACCAGCGCTGTGAAAACGTCCGCTGTTCAGCCAGTGCGGGGAGGACATGTCTAAGATGGCCGAGACATCCCCTTCCTTGGAGGGGTGAGGAGAAAACCCGCTTGTCCAAGCTCCTGCGGTGGGCCTGGCGGCAGTCAGGGGCCCGCAGACACCGGGGACTTCACTGTCTCTATGTGAGGCTGTGCCTCAGCGGTCATGTTCCATGGCTGCTGTAAAGTTCTGCTTCTGCATCTGGTTCCTCTCTTTCTTCTAAGATGAGAATTAGTAACAGTAACATAAATTTTAACGTCCTTGATATTCTTGACAAATATGAAAAAAGTGCTGACGCGTTAGGTCTTCTCACCTGGCTTCTTGAAAATCCTGGGTCCCATCTCCAAGACACGTGACTCGTCTGACCCTATCACAGACCACCATTACTTCACCCTACCTACCTGCCCCCTGCTTGGTACTCAATAAAAGTCAGCGTCCAGGCACTCAGGGCCGCTGCCGGACTCCGTCCTCTGTGTAGCAGTGGACCCCTGCGCCCAGACTCTCTTTTCTCTATCTCTGTCCTGTATCTTTGTTTTCAGTTTCTTGTCTCCACACCTGTAGACAGGGACTCACAGGACCCGGTAAGGCTGGACCCTATAGTTACCAATCTGTTACTTTTCTTTTTTTTCTTTTCTTGAGACAAAGTCTCTCTCTGCTGCCCAGGCTGGAGTGTAATGGTGCAATTTTGGCTCACTGCAATCTCCACCTCCTGGGTTCAAGTGATTCTCCCGCCTCCGCCTCCCAGGTAGCTGGCACTACAGGCGTGCGCCACCACTCCCAGCTAATTTTTGTATTTTTAGTAGAGACAAGGTTTCACCATGTTGGCCAGGCTGCTCTCAAACTACTGACCTTAGGTCATCAGTCTGCCTCAGCCTCCCAAAGTGCTAGGATTATAGGTGTGAGCTACCACGCCTGGCCCAATCTGTTGTTTTTCTTTTTCTTTGTTTTTTGAGATGGAGTCTTACTCTGTAGTCCAGGCTGGAGTGCAGAGGCTCGATCTTGGCTCACTGCAACCTCTGCCTCCCGGGTCCCGATTCAAGCAATTCTCCTACCATAGCCTCCCAAGTAGCTGTGATTATAGGCACGAGCCACCATGCCCAGCTAATTTTTGTAGTTATTTATTTTTATTTTTTTGGAGACGGAGTTTCGCTGGTTACCCAGGTTGGAAGTCCTGTTACAGCGAATCCCAAGTTTCTCCGCAAAGAACCAGTATCACAGTACGTTCAGCCCTCTTATTCTTTAATTCTCCGTTTTAAAGCTTAACTTCCTTGTAATTCCAGTAAACAACCTTCTCCACCGGTTCTAACCAGTAGTTCACATCTGCTCCCCCGGTCCCCGGCTCCATTCTGACTCATCACGGCCACCTGCTCCATTGACCCACCCGTAATCATCCTTCCTGCCAGAACACCCACGCCGCCACTCCAGCTCTGACCCCTGCTCTCTTTAAAACAGCCAGTCCAGATTAGTCTAGCTTGTGAGGTCTAACCCTACCCAGTAGGGTACGACACAGCAGTAGGGACGACTCCCCATCAAGCAGAAGTATCCTTTCCCCCTTTATCCAAGCGTGCGGCTGCCATTGTTCCATCCCTACACTGCACCCTTCTATAGAAGTCAACTGCCTTGCTTAGAGAACTTATTGTTATTTGAGGCATTGAAATTTTACTTATAACAGTCTGACACAGCATGTGTATTCCAGGCTGCAATCCCTTGCCCAACAAACTGTTTTATTATTATTTTTAAAACTAGAGACGAGGCTTTGCCATGTTGCCTAGGCTGGTCTCAAACTCCTGGGCAAGCGATGCATCCATGCTGGCCTCCAAAAGTGCTGTTCTCCACCACCCCTGACCCCGACACATTTATTTATTTATTTATTTATTTATTTATTTATTTATTTATTTATTTATTTTTTTGAGACGGAGTTTCACTCTCGTTACCCAGGCTGGAGTGCAATGATGCGATCTCGGCTCACCGCAACCTCCGCCTCCTGCTTCAGGCAATTCTCCTGCCTCAGCCTCCTGAGTAGCTGGGATTATAGGCATGCGCCACCATGCCCAGCTAATGTTTTGTAAAAAATGCTTTATTTTTTAAAGTTTGAAGATTTTTCTTGCCGTCCTGCAGTTCAAATTCAATCAATCTTTTTTTTTTTTTTTTTTTTTTTTTTTGAGACAGAGTCTTACTCTGTTATTCAGGCCAGAGTGCCGTGGCTCAATCTCAGCTCACTGCAACTTCCGCCTGCCAAGTTCAAGCAATCCTCCTGCCTCAGCCTCCTGAGTAGCCGGGATACAGGAGTACAGCACCACATCTGGCTGATTTTGTATTTTTAGTAGAGATGGGGTTTCACCACGTTGGCCAGGCTGTTCCTGAACTCCTGTCCTCAGGTGATTGCCCATCTCAGCCTCCCAAAGAGCTGGAATTACAGGTATGAGCCGCCATGCCTGGCCTTCAATAAATATTTTTTTAATTTTTAAATTAATTTTTAGAAATAGGGTTTCATGACCAGGTGCAGTGGCTCATGCCTGTAATCCCAGTACTTTGGGAGGCCGAGGTGGGTGGATCACCTGAGGTTAGGAGGTCAAGACCAGCCTGACCAACATGGTGAAACCCCATCTCTACTAAACATACAAAAAGCCGGGTGTGGTGCTGTACCCCTGTAGTCCCAGCTACTCGGGAGGCTGAGGCAGGAGAATCGCTTGAACCCAAGAGGCAGAGGTTGCGGTGAGCCGAGATCGCACCACTGCACTCCAGCCTGGGCGACAAGAGTGAAACTCCGTGTCAAAAAATAAAAAAAAATAAAAAAAAAAGGAATCAGGTCTCTTTGTCACAGACACGGGAGTGCGGGGGCACGGACACCGCTCAGCGCACCCTCGACCTCCCAGGTTCAGGCGACCGTCGCACGCCAGCCTCCCGAGCAGCAAGGGCTACAGGCATAAAAACGTTTTTAAAGTTTCTGGAACAGAAGGGGTTTCCCTACGGTGCCCAGGCTGGTCTCCAGCCCCCGGCGTCGAGCGATCCTCCCGCCTCGGCCTCCCGACTAGCCGGGACCACAGACGTGAGCCACGCGCCGGCCACACTCCCAGGTGAGCGGCCTCTCGGGTGCCCGACGCAGGCTGTCGCACGTCCTCCCTGCGGGCTGGAACGGGCCGGCGGCGTCGCTGGGCAGTGAGGTCCCCGCAGTGGCCATGAGCGCGGACGCGGCGCCGCGACTCCGCGGACGGGGGCGGGGCGTCCGCCGCACCGAGACCCTCCCTCCTCCGCGGGACGGGCGGCCACTGCGCGGAGTGGGCGGGCCGTGACGTCAGCACGCGCTGGGTGGACGCGGGCCTGCGCGGCCTGTGACGTCAGCGGGGAGGCGGGCTGGGAGGGCGGCGTGGGGCACGCCCCTGCAGGCGCGACGGGCCGGCGCGGCGGTGACCTAAGTCCCTTGCCGGCGGAAGCGGGGCCGGCGCGGCGCTGAAGTACTTCCCTAAGGGCGGGGAGGAACGAGACGAGGGCGGGACCGGCGCCCGTGACGTCAGTCTCGCGCGCGGCCGGAGGTGGGCCGGCGCAGCGCTGTGACGTAATGCAGTGGACGAAGGAGGTGGCCCCGGATGTTGCGGCGCCCGCTGGCCGGGCTGGCTGCGGCCGCCCTGGCCCGGGCCCCTCCGGACGGTGAGTACGAGGGCGGTCGCGAGGGTGAGGCGATGCCCAGGCGACGTTGGCCCCTGCGCTTTGCAGGCGCCCGATCCGCGCCGTCTCCGGAGCTCCTAGCCGGCATGCCCTGTGCTGCGTTCACCCGCGGGCCCTGAGAACCGGGGCCTCTGGAGGGCGGACGGGCGACGCGGCGGGGCGCTCCTCCTCAGGGGCCGGGCCGGCCGGGAGCTTTCGGTGTGAGGCGGCTCCTCTGCGCGCCGGAGCGCACGGGGTCTTCCCGACAGCGAGGCGCGCCGACAGAGAGAGCAGCCCGGAGTCCCTGCCGCCGGCCCGGGCGCTGTGCGCTCCGGTTCCCACCCCCGCCTGCGTGCCCGGGGGTCCTGGGAGGATGGAGCCGGCGACTCCGGGGCTCCTAGGATTCTGCTGGCGGTTCTTGCCTGCCCTGTGGCCCGTCGCAGAGACAGAGACTTCGGGAAGCAGCAGGCCTTCCCGACGCGGGAGTGCGGCATTTGGGGTCTTGATCCTCCCAAGGCCAGAGTCCGGGTTGGGGTTCCTGAAGCTGCCCAGCTGCCGTTCTTGAGCGTTGCCTTAGACGTATGCCCCAGGAGGGACTGCTGTGGGAAGCAGGTGCCTCAAAGTTGATGTTGACCGTGTGTGTGCTGGGCCTCGGTTTCGCCTTTGCATGAAACAGGCCGGCCGATCCTGGGGCCCCGGGTGGGTCTTGCTGTGCTGTCCTTGGGCCCCTGGCCCCTTCCTGTCTCAGGCTCGCTCTGCCTGTTGCCTGGGGTTAGCATCGAGAGCCCTGTGGAAGACTCGGCCGGTTTTTCTTTCTCCTTGATGGGCAGGCCCAAACGGCCGCGCAGCATCGTGGGCCTTCACGCGTCTGTGGCTCTGGAGGGCCTGGCTTTCTCAGGAGGTAAAGGAACATTCCTCTCCCCCTGGGGAAAAAAAAAGTGAAAACGAAAGCGCCCGGGCTGCTCCTGGTGTGGTCCGGTTTAAAACAAGGTTGCAGAAGGCTAGGGCATGTGCTACCCGGATGTGTACCCAGAGCCCCTGCTGCCAGAGCAGCCGCCTGGATCGCCACCAGCCTCCCCTTCATCCAGCCGGCCCAGCCCAGAGCCCAGGCCCGTGTCTGATGGCTTGCGTCTTATTGAGAGGCCAGGCGGGAGCTGGCTTCTCTCCATTCTCAGAAGGTCGAGCCCTCTGTTAGCATCTCCTGGAAGAGTGGGCCGAGGGCGGGGTGGTGACTGTGTTTAGTCTTGAGGATGGCTGGAAGCCAGAAGGAGGAGATTCTGCCGCCAGAGCAGGAAGTGCCTTTCTAGTAAAGCGGCTGCTGGGGCACCATGGGGAGCCCAGTCCAGGGAGCGTGGCAGAGAGCATTCCAGAACATGGATCTGTGCCAGGCTCCCAGGAGACCTTCCATCTCGGAGCTCCTGTGGAGACCACGTGCCTGGCAGGTCCTTGCGGTTGTGGGTTGTGTGCCGTGTGCCTTATTGCCGGGCAGCTGGATGGAGTTTGCGACTGTGGGTTGGTGAGAGTGGAGGACACAGACTTGCTTGCTGGAATGCTTCCCACTGCCCACAGGAAGACACCTTTGACACGTGTGTTCTGCTCAGGGCAAAGTCAGGTTCTGTGGCTTCCACCCCAAGATTGCACGAGCCATGAGGCCTGGGCCACAGCTTTCTCTTTTGGGTGTGCTCTGTGGAAGGTGGCTTTGGTGACCGCCCTGCCACTGGTCCCTCCCCAGGCAGGCAGGCAGCTTGTGCCCCCGCCCTGTCTCCAGCAGTGATGTGGCTGTAGTTCCGCAAGGCCTCCACCCACTAGCTGTCTGCCCTCTGCACCCCCTGGCTGACCCGGACCCCGGTGGTCTACGCATTGTGCCCTCATGCTTGGCCAGAGGTGAACTCAGGGGACCTAGGAAGAGCAGATTGTCAGGCTGCCCAGAGTTCTTGGCAGTTGGTGTGCCGCGTGTGCCTCGTGCCCTGTGCTGGGTTAGAGTGGGCACAGCTGCACAGACAGTGCCCTTGGCTCAGCCGGAGCTTGGACCCCTGCCTGGCAGCAGCTGAGCGAACTGGGGTCTTCTGCTTGTGGGCCCAGCCTCGCCTCAGTAACTTAGCGCATGCACCCGCAGGAGGGAGGAGGGGAGGCCTAGAAGCCTCGGCTTGTGGGGGAGTAAGGGCGGTGCAGGGGCAGCACCTGTGGAAGAAGCAGGTGGGGGTGGGGCCTCCAGCATCCGCTGTCTGCTCTGTGCTGGGTTGCTTCTGTCAGTGTTTCTGATCGTTGCCAGGGCCCTGTGGTGAAAAGAGGCACCTGCCGCTCACTGCTTGCAGGGAGAAGGGGGAGATCCCCAACCCAGGAGCCAGAGATGGGGCTCCAGCTACCCCCCAGTCTTGGGATTTGAAAGTGAGGCACGAACTCTCCAATTCCTGGGCGTTGGCATGGAGTGTGGGGTTCAGAGGGTTGGAGACCAGGGTCTGGTTGTGGTTTGGTGGGATCCTCAGAAAGTGTGGCTCTTCCCCTTCTGAGGACAAACACGGGGTGCTGAAGCTCCATTTCTAGTGGGTTGACCCCGGTCACCCCTTTGTTTCCTTCAATATGGGTTTGTAGTGATGTGGCATCTAGGTTCAGACCCTAAGAGCTTGGAGCCAGGGACTGTGGGGAACTGGGCAGGACCGGCCTCAGGGCAGCCCTGTCAGGCCCACCAGTGCTGTGCTTCTGTGGGGTGGTGGGGAAGAGTGACCTTGAGAAGGGCCAGCTCACTGGAGTGACTGGGCAGAAGCTTACATGGGGTCCAGCCCACAGGGCCATCTGGGTAGCCCTCCCATACTGGGTTCTTTGAGGCGCAGGATCTAGCTCTACTTTTTCTCTTTTGTATTGGAAAGGTCACCAGGAGATCATTGAGTGTTAATTTCTGTAATCTTGATGCATTAAGTAGGTGTGTAGCAATTGCTGGATGTGTCCTGAGAACTGCACCCCTTGCACCCTGGCAAGAAGCAGGGGCTCCAGAAATTCACGCAGGTGTCACGGCACATTGACTGTGGGAGGCTCAAGGGGGCTTCAAGCTCGTGCATTGTGGGAACCAGGCTGTGGGGGTTCAGGGCTTGCCAGCTGGGAGAAGCTGAATAGATGAGAGCCCTGGCCACTGTGGTGCATGCTGGTGGTTGGCTGGCATGTAGAGGAGGTGGCAGGGCTGGGTGAGCAGCAGGAGCCAAGTGAATGGGGAGGCTGGAGCCAAGTGCGGGGGCCGCTTCCGTGGGTGGGAGAGCCAGGAGGGCATGGCGGGCATGCTGAGGTGAAAGTGACATGTGCTTGTGACGAGAAGCCCAGAAGAGGCAGGAAGGAGGGAGGAGTCATTTCCTTAGGAGCACACATGAGCTTCTGGGTGGGGGCGCTGCAGCTCCCTAACTCCTGAATGGTCTTGTGTGTTTGTGATCAATGGCGTGTATGTGTGCATGTACGGGTACACGTGTGTGTGCATCTGCTTGGTGTGCATGCATCTGTGTGCACGTATGTGCCGTGTGTACGTGTGTGTGTGTGGTAGGTTTGTGCACACATCCTGCGTACCTTTGTGCCTGGGAGTGGCACGTGTGTGGTAGGTGCCCCATGCATGATGGAGTTGCGGTGGTGGTGCATTTGTGAGATTACCTTGGTGGCCTAAATTGGGGATTAGGAGGGCATCCTCAGGTCCTTCCTACTGTCTGCTCCTCTGCCCGCAGGCAGCTGTGCCCCAAGCAGGAGGAGGCCATCTGTGCCTCACCTGAGTTGTGTCCAAGGTGTGTGCGTGGCCAGGGGTCCTGTCCACCTCCCTCTGCCCCGGTCTCTGAATGCAGCGGCAGTGTGCCGCTCCTCCCCTCAGCTCTGCTCCCCACCCCAACTCAGACACAGCCCTGGCCCTGTGTGCGTAGCTCATGTGGGCTGTGTGGGCAGGGCAGGTGCAGGTCTTGGGGCAAGAACTGAAGCTGTCTTTTCCTTCCTGCACAGCTGATGCCAGGTAGACGGGGCTGCCTCCCTGCAAGGGCTGAGGGCCAGGCCCCCTGGGGATTTATTCCTGGCTTAGAAGGGTGGGGCCAGAAGCAGGCGTGGTGGGGATTAAGGATTCAGCATCCCCAGCTCTCAGTCCAGCAGGCAGACCCGCCCCGGGCTGGCCGCAGAGGCCGCACACCAGCAAACAGGTAGGCCCTGTTCCTGGTGAGGGTCCCCACCAGGCAAAGGCCAGCTCCCAGGCCCCACCTGATACAAGTGTCCAAGCTAGGATACTGTTTGCCTTCCCCTTGGGGGCTAATGGGGAGGCCTCCAACCCCCTGCTGGCATTACCAGCATCACAGATAGGAGTCCCTATGAGAAGTTCCTCGAATGGGTGTAGATTCAGCAGACCTTGACAAGGCCACACCTGCAGAGCATGTTGCCGGAGGACAGAGGCAGGACAGGGACACTTCCGTCCCAGACCTGGCAGCCCAGCACTCAGCAACCGTGCATGAGAGCCAATGGCCAGGCTCCTGGGTGGGGTAGGGGGTCTCACGACAGGCTCCCAGAGGGCTTGGAGGTGACTGCACCAGGTGGGGACGGCAGCTCCTGGGGAGGGTATGATCAGAGTAGACGGCACCGCTTGCCAGGGACCCCCAGGGAGGCTGAGAGGGTCAGTAGGTTTCAGAGATGGTGGATTTCAGTGGGGGGCTCCCCTGCTGAGAACCCAGTAAAACTGGCCCTCCACTCGTCTCCCGTGTGCTCAGAGCGTGGTCTGAGGGCTGCCTTGTGCATGCCGGGCCTTCCAAGGTAACAGAGAACAGAGCTCATGGGGATGCGCACCCAGGCTCTCAGGAGACTCTGAGGCCAGTGTCTCCATCTGCAGGTCAGCCCTTTCCTGCCAGGAACTCAGGAAGGCAGAGGCAGCTCAGCGAGGGTTGGGGGGGGCCCAGAGGCCCCTCTGCTATCCTCTCCTCTCACAGTCTCTCCTCTCACCCCCAGGCATGTCGGGTCCCCGGCCTGTGGTGCTGAGCGGGCCTTCGGGCGCTGGGAAGAGCACCCTGCTGAAGAGGCTGCTCCAGGAGCACAGAGGCATCTTCGGCTTCAGCGTGTCCCGTGAGTGCAGGGCACCTCTGGAGGGGTGCATGGACCTCAAGGCTGCTGGGCAGTCCCAGCACTGTGAGCAGGCCAGGAGCCTTCACCCAGCAGGCACACCCACCCTGGAGACTGTCCCCTCTCCTGTACGCTCTCCCCACACGCGTGCACACGTACACACGTACACACACCTTGCACCCTGGGGACTGTCCTCTCTCCTGTCCACGCCCCCCACATGCGTACACATACACACACACACACACACACACGCACGCACACCCTACACCCTGGGGACTGTCTCTTCTCCTGTACACTCCCCCTGCACCCGTGCACATATATACACACACGAATGCACACCCTGCACCCTGGGGACTGTCCCCTCTCCTGTCCACGCCCCCTGCACACGTGCACATACACAGACATGCGCAGGCACACCTTGCACCCTGGGAACTATCCCCACTCCTGCACCACCCTCCCCCTCCCCTGCCCCGCCTGCCCGCCCACAGAAACTGAGGCTGTTGCACTCCTGCTGTCCCGTGTGCCTGTGTCTCCCTTCCCTGGGTCTGTTGAGCACTGATGACTGCCGCGGTGCCTTTCTGGGAGAACCCTTGCGCTGTAGCTCCTGTGCCCTCCCCGACGTGTGCTCCACTGGCTGCCTGCATCCTGGGGCTCAAGTGCCGTCGGGACTGCAAGGGAAACGCTGGGTGGGGCAGGGGGCTCCGGGCAGTCCCTGATGGGTGACAGGTCTCTCTGCCAGATACCACGAGGAACCCGAGGCCGGGCGAAGAGAACGGCAGAGGTGAGTGGGGAGGGGCCCTGCGGCTGGAGCACCCCTGCTGTGAGCGGGCTGTGGGGCCCATCCCCTGTCCCTGTTGGTCCTCATCTGTGAGATGGATCCCTGCCTCCCAGGGCCAGTGAGCTCAGTCAGGGTGTCAGCACCACAGCACAGGTGTCATCTGCTTTTCTGGGCACAGTGTGAAAGGCCAGCCAAGGCCTGGGGTTGTCTTCCTCCTTCCCTGGAGGCGGCCACAGTGCTGCTGTCCCCAGCTCTATCCTGGGCTTGACACTTACCAGCACTTTTGAGCTGTCTTCTGGTAAACAGGGCTACTCTGCCTGTCTGATTCCGAGACAAGGGAGTCCCCTCCCGACAGCACCCCGTCCCTAGCCATGCAACCCAGTGGTCTCCAGTCCTCCCCCCCAACTCCCCCTGGAACCCAGCAGCCTCGAGTCTCCGTCCGTGAGGAGAATGTGGGCAACTGGCAGCACTCGAGGGGTCCTCAGACATCTCCCCAGCAAGGGTCTGACCGAAACAGCCGTGGGTGTGGGAGGGGCCTGCTGGTGGGCCTGGGTTGGGGGCGGCTGGCCCTGGTGCGGGCCTCGACTGCCCTCTGGACGGCCCCTCCTCCTCCCCAGATTACTACTTTGTAACCAGGGAGGTCATGCAGCGGGACATAGCGGCTGGGGACTTCATCGAGCATGCTGAGTTCTCGGGGAACCTGTACGGCACGAGGTGGGCCTCGAGTGGGCTCCCGGGGTTGCTGAGTTGTGGTTGTGAGTGTGGCCCAGGGCCGGGCTCCATCTGTGGCCCTGTGGTGGTCCTTTTCATGAGAGTGCTGGGCCCGGTCCTGCCACCGTGCACTGTCCTGGCAGGGCGAGGGGTGCACAGGACACCTTGTGCTCACTGCAGGCACCTTGGGGCGAGGGTGGCTTCTGTTCCCTGTAGGTGGGGTGGGCCATGGGGGTAGCAGGCTTGGGGTGCTCCTGGAGGTGCCGTGGGATGCTGGGTCTAGGCCAGGCCTAGGCTCAGCTGTGGGAGGAGAGAGCTGGGCCCTGGAGGGCCTGATGTCCCTGAAGCTCCTGTGGGCACCCTGCTGACCTGGCACCTGCCCCCAGCAAGGCGGCGGTGCAAGCGGTGCAGGCCATGAACCGCATCTGCGTGCTGGACGTGGACCTGCAGGGTGTGCGGAACATCAAGGCCACCGACCTGCGGCCCATCTACATCTCCATACAGCCGCCCTCGCTGCACGTGCTGGTGTGTGCCGGGCAGGTGGGGCGGGGGGCCAGGCTGTGCCGGGCTCTGACCACCACCCCCTTTTCAGGAGGAGCGGCTGCGTCAGCGCAACACCGAGACAGAGGAGAGCCTGGAGAAGCGGCTGGCTGCTGCCCGGGCCGACATGGAGAGCAGTGAGTGCAGCGGGGCGCCGGGCCTGCCAGGAGGGGAGGCGGGTTCTGAGGGTTGCAGCACCAGGGTCCCTGTGGGTCCCCAGGCCTCCCGATGCCCGGAGTCCCTGTGAGGGTCGTCAGGCCTCCCAACCACCTCCCAACACCTGGAGTCCCCATGAGGGTCCCCAGAACCCACCCAATCACCAAAGGTCTCATTGAGGGTCCTCAGATCCCCCTCTGTTACCCAAAGTCTCCGTGAGGGCCCCCAGATTCCCCCATCACCCAGGGTCCCCTGAGGTGTCCCGGATCTCATAGCCCTGGGGGTGTCAAGTGCATCCTCTTAACAGCTGTCACCTCTCCTCTGGGTCTGACTGCAGCCCACAGGAAGAGGGCATTTAACGTTCTGCTCTGTCTGTAGAGGACAGTGCCCTCCCCCAACCAGAGTCCTGACGGGTGCTGGTGTCCAGGGTCTGGGGCTCCAGAGAGCAGGAGGGGCGCCTGAGAACAAGGCCCAGGGGGTGGCCCTTCCCCACGCGACACAGGCCCGGCCGGGCTGGAAAGCTCTCCCGCAGCCACGGCAAGGACAGCCGAAGGCCAGTGGGCAGCTCTGGGGTCATGTGGGACCCGGGGTGGGGCTTTGTGGGCTCACTGTGGCCTGACCCCAGGTCCCACCCCAGGCAAGGAACCCGGCCTGTTTGATGTGGTCATCATTAACGACAGCCTGGAGCAGGCCTACAAGGAGCTGAAGGAGGCGCTGTCTGAGGTGGGCCCCATCCTCCTGCCGACCTGGGCAGGTCCACGGGGAGGCCTGGGGCCAGGGCTTTGTTGCCCACGAGGCCCCTGAGATCAGATGGGACAGTCCCAGCCAAGTACTGGCACGAGACACCGTGGTCCACCATGGAGGGGGCGCAGGAGGCTCGGCCCTTCCTGGATGCCAGCCCTCCTGACCCCCTTCCTCACTGCAGGAAATCAAGAAAGCTCAAGGGACCGGCGCCTGAGGCTTGCTCTCTCTCCTTGGCACCCCGGGTGCATACCGGACCAGGGCAGCAGCACTGAGCAGCCCCCTTGGCAGGCCCTACGGCAGCTCTGTGCCCTTGGCTGGCGTGTGGAGTGGAGGGGATGCGTCTCCTGTGGTTGGACCATGCTGGGGTGACCCCAACCCAATCCCACCGGGCTGTTCCTCAAACGCGGGCCCCGGGGCTGACATGCTAATAAAATAATGGTTGGATTAGAGAGTCCATAAATGAGTGGGGCGTGGCCCTGAGGTTGGTGTGGGGCCCCTCGTGATCTGGCCCCCAGTCCCAAGGAGGGCTACCAGGTGGGCCCTGCCCAGGCATGTTTCCTGCTGGACATCCAGGCAGGGAAGGTGACAGGGCCAGTGCCAGCCCACCTGGCAGGCCAGCAAGCGGAGAGCAGGCAGCAGCTGCACGTGCCAGCCTGAGGCTGCAGGGGTGGGTCCTGGGGGATACCTCTTGGTGCCTGAGCTCCGGTGGGTCTGGCATGGGCCCCGGGTTCCAGGAGAGGCCCCTGAGCCCCAGCAGCTGGAGGTTCCAGAACTCAAGGTCTGGGGGCTTCCCTCAGGGAGATGCCTGAGTGGACGGCAGCTGCCCCTCCCTCCCGGCCTCGGGGACTGTTGTGTGGGGAGCCGCCGCTCCGGCCACCTCCCTCCCTCCCCAGTGCTCCCGCAGCCTGCCTGTCTGGGGCAGCGCAGAGCAGTGCTGCCAGCCACCCCTCAGGTCAGCCCCAGTCCTGGTCTGAGCCCAGGTATGGTGCTCCTGGGGAGGGGTGCAGAGATGAGCGACCTGGATGGGAGCGAAGGAGGCAGGCAGGGCGCCCGGCCGGAAATGGGGGCGGGGAGCAGAGTCCCCGCCCAGAGCCCAGACGCAGGCTGCCAGACGATACTGGCCAGAGCCGCCGGACTGGCGGCAGGGCAGGGGAGGGGAGGTCAGGGGCAGCCCCCAGAGCAGGTGGACTGAGCTTCTGAGGCTGCTTGGGCCTGGAAAGCTCTGCCCGCCGCCCCGCCCCCCAGGACAATCAGGGATTCAGACCCTGAGGCCGAGGGGGGAACAATGGGGCCCTTGAGGGCCCCTCCCCCAGCCCCCATTGTGCTTGGTGGCGGGAGGTGGCCCCGGCTGTGCCGAACACCCTCTGGGAGGACCAGCATCCGAGCAGGTGGAAGGGCTCAGAGGGAGACTGGAATTTTCTGGCCTGGAGAAGGTAGGGTGCTGGGCCCCTGTGTGCACCGCCGGGGGCCCTTCCTCAGGAGACAGCCTCACCCTGTGCCCCTGGCCTCGGGGCGCTGAAGGAGGGAGGGCTTCCTGAGGACGAGGACCAGCCGCAGGAGGGGCACTCCTCATGCCTGTCGCCCCTCCTGGGCCCCGCTATTCCATGAAGATGTTGGGGTGGCCCCCCACTTGATGTCTGTGTCCTTCAGGCCCAGCTGCCTTCACTGTAGGGTGGGTGCCAGCCAGTGGGGTCTGGTCTGGGACAGCTGGCAAGCGGGAGGGGTGCCTTCAGTACCTCCCCCAGCAGCTGGGGCCCTCAGGCAGTGGTAGGGCTGGCCTCTGGAACACCAGCCAGCTGCAGTGTATCCAGGCCCAGCCCCACACCCTCAGCAGCCCCCTGGAGGTGAGGATCCTGGCCTGCCCCTTGTGCAGACAGACTTGGGACCCTGCTCAGCCCCTTCCTTGGAAGGCCACAAGCCACTCTGACAAACTCTAACTGTGCCTGGAGCCCAGCAGACCCTGTGGTCACAGAGCCGACCCCAGTGCCCGTCAGTGTTGTGATTAACTGGCTGGAGGCCCCCCTGGGGTGCTGGGGCAGGCCCTCAGTGCAAGGAAGGGGCGGCATGGCTGAGGAGTGGGAGGCCTGCATCCCGCTGGGAGGGCAGAGCACCCCGGCGCCACTGCACAGGGAGGCCACACAGTCCAGGCCCAGGGCCCCCATCCCGGGGCCGGATGGCAGTAAGCCCAGGATTTGTGGCTGCTGGGCTGGGTAGGGGGTTCAGGAGGGAAGAGACGGGTTCGTGGGCTCAGCAGAATGGGCGGAGGGCAGGGACAGCCCCTCGCTCCCGGTGCACATACCCCCCGGAGCTCCATTTTTGGAGTGTGTGTGGCTCAGCTCCAGGCCTGTACAGCCCTGGAGACCAGCCTGGGGGAGCTGGCCAGGGTGCAGCGATGACACACTCCCACCTGACCCGGGCCCGGCTTGCCCCTTGTTCCACCTTCAGGAGAGGAACAGCCCCTTGTCTCTAGGCCTGGCAGTTGTGCCTGCTTGGGACCCCAGTGGAGGGGCCTTGAGAAGGGGCAGCAGAAGGGACCCAGGCACTCACAGCGCCACTAACCCCAGGGAAGAGAGAGCTCCATGGGGGAGGGGGCACCAGCCTGGATGCTGCCTGGCCCTGGCAGGGGCTGGGGACCGCACAGACTCAGCCCCACACTACGTTCCTCACTGTCCCCTCACTCTCCTGACGTTCCTGAGCACCGTACCCATCTTCTGGGGCTCTGGTCAGTTCAGGAGCTGTTGCAGGCCATGTGAGGGGAGCTGTAATGTAGGCAGGCACTTGGGGCCTTGGGGGCACCGTGCCTTCCTGGGTCTCAGTGGTTGTGGGGTGGGGTGCTCCCTGAGGGAGGCACGTGGTGAGGTTGAGGCAGAATCAGGGAGGGCTCATGGCTGTGTGAGTGAGTGTGTGAGCCCACCTCCATGTTGAGCTGGGGCAGCAGTGTGCACGTGGGAGTGTGCACGGTGTGTGTGTGCATGGGTGTGCATGCGTGTGCATTCGTGTGGGGAGGAACATGCGCTGTGTGTGTGTGTGAAGGATGAGTGACGACAGCTTGTACCCACACCCAGTGGGGCTTACAAGCTGCACAGGCAGGACCCCGAGACCGGCCACAGAGGTGCTGGGGCACAGCAGTCCGGAGGGAGAGTTCCAGGCCTGGGGCTTGGGTCCTGGTGGCCGAGCTCTGTGCCTCCCTCTGGACCAGGGCATCCAGAGGAGCATGGCTGAGGCTGCACTCCGGGCTGACCATCCCAGGGCCTGGGCTGTCCAGGACGGGCAGGTGGGGGCCCAGGCAGGGACATGGAGGATGGGTGCAGGAGCTGCCACCACAGAGCTGAGCTGGGGACATCAGGGCAGGGAGCTACGGCCTGTCAGGCTGAGGGGTGAGGAGACATTGAGGGCTGCGGGTGGGTGAGTGCTGTAGCCCCCTCTGAGCGAAGACTGCCCCCACACAGCCCTGCAGCGTAGTGGAGTGGTGGGAGGGGACCATGCCTGCAGAAGCTCCAGGGAAGTGGGACGGAGAACCTGCTTTGGACTGTGCGGACAAGCAACAGCACAGGGCCCGCCATGCGTTGGGGTCCCGTGGTTTTCAGGGAGGGGAGGAGCCTGCCGCAGGATCCCCGCCTGGTGAACTGTGCTATGTGCATGGTGCCTGCCTGGCGGCCTAAACTACAAAAAACTCCCGCCCTGTGCAGCCTGCCCTAGGAGGGTCTGCGGGGGGAAGGAAATACCTGGGCCCCTGACCCTTTACTGCAGACCCGGGCGGGGTAGGGCGCGGCTCATACTGCAGTGCCCCGGGACCTGTGTTCAGACCCAGGGTGAGCAGAGGCTTGTGGAGGAGGAGGCCTGGCTCTGACCGGCATCCTGAGGTGCCAGGATACTGGTCAGAACTGCCCCAGCTGGGTTTGCAGAAGGGTGACCTCCACCTGGACCTGCTTGCCTTGAAACCCCTCCCAGAGGTGGCCCCCACTGTGAGCCCCCCACCCCCCGCCTCACCGTGGGCCCCCCACCCCCCGCCTCACCGTGAGCCCCTTGGCTTTTGCCACACACCCCATTGAAGCCCTTCCTGTGAGCCCCTCATTCCACCAGGGTGAGACCGGCCTCACTGTGAGGCCCCCTTTCAGATCCTGGCCTCAAAGCGAGCCCCCGAGAGCCCCTGGCCCTCCACCAATGCCCACATCCTCCTCTACTTCCCAAAGCCTTCCCCGGGGCTGACCCTGCCTCACCACTCCCACACCTGGGCCAGGCAGTGTCCTGGCTGGTGGCCTCCTGCAGTCACCCCTCTACCCCGCCCTGACACACGTTACTAATCCCAGCAGCTGCCTCCTCACGGACTCTGAAGCCCACGGGCACCTCCAGCTCTAGCCAGGCTGAAGCCCCTCCCCACCAATCCTCGTCCTGGGTACCCTGGAGGTGTAGTTTTGGGGTGAGATCTCTCTTGGACCTGTGTGCACAGACAGGCTGCAAATCCCGGGCCTGGATCCCTGGGGCCAGCACCCCTCCCCTCTCCTCCGGAGGGCCAAGCCTCCCCTGACAACCTCATCCTGCAGCACTGGACAGTGCCCACCTCAGCCTGTCCCACCTCTGTGTAAGAGGTCCTTTCTTTTTAAGTAAGAGTTTATTTTACAGCACTTTCACAGAAAAGGGCCAAGGCGCGATGGCTCATGCCTGTAATCCCAGCACTTTGGGAGGCTGAGGCAGGAGGACTGCTTGAGACCTGCGGTTAGCTACGGTTGTGCCACTGCACTCCTCCAGCCCGGGTGACAGAGCGAGGTCCCATCAAAAAAAAAAGCGGACGTGGGGTCCCGCTCTGTCGCCCGGGCTGGAGGAGTGCTGTAGTCTCATCTCGGCTCGCTGCCACCTACCCCTCCCAGGTTCAAGTGATTCTCCCACCTCAGCCTCCCAAGTAGCTGGTACTACAAGCACATGCCCCATGCCTGGTTAATTTTTCTATTAAGATCCCATCGTTTAAAAATAAAAATTGCCCAGCATGGTGGCACGCGCCTGTAGTCCCAGTACTCAGGAGGCCGAGGTGGGAGAATTGCTTGAGCTCAGTAAGATTTACAGAAAAGCTGTGAGGATAGTGCCGAGTTCCCACAGACCCTACACCCAGTTTCCCCGTTGCTGACATCTTGCACTAGCGTGACATGCTCTCGTAACCAATGGGCCAGTATCGAGCTGGGATTATCCTCGCTGTCTGGATGGACGCTGGCCATGGGGAGTCCACGCCGTCTGGACGGATGCTGGCCAGGTGCTCTGTAGGGTGCCCCTTGGGTGGGATCCCTTTCAGCTTCACGTTTCCTTGTGAGTTTTCAGGGGGATGGGTTCTGGGAGGAAGACTGTGTAGAGTTGACGGGACCTTCCCATGAGATGCCATGAAGCATCCACGCCATCCAGGACCTTGTGGTGACACTTTGGCCACCGGGCCAGGGTTTGTGTAGGGTGCGGGCTGCAAGGGTGCTCTCCCTCTCTCCCTCCCGCACCCTCTGAAGCCAGGTTAGCGGGCGCAGCCCGCAGGTAGGGGTTCACGCTCTCCTCCTCCAGTACAGGGCGTCCACTCGGCTGCTTTGGACTGAATCAGGAGGAGCTGTCTCCTGCCCCTTGTTTGCTTATCCATTCAGTCACATCCCTTGGCAACCTATGAGCCAGTCTGTAATCTGTGACACAAGACTACTCGATTTCCGTCACTGCTCGGAGGGACCCAGTCTCCCGCACCGGGTGCTGCACCCCCAGCCTTTTTCTCTGACTCTGAGGTTGCCTCAGGCCCCTCTGCGCCTTACCAGCCCCAGCCCTAGGGTCTGCCCGTTCCCCACCAGGGGATCCTGAGTCCTGTGATTGGAAGTGGAGGCAGAACCAAGGCCTGGGCCCCAGGTGGGCTCTTGCTCCTGGGGTGTGTTTACACTGAGGTCTTTGCAGGGGCCAGAGCAAAGGTGTGTGTGTGAACCCAGGTGCATCCACACGTCTGTATTTTCTGTGAAACCTCCCACATCTCTAGCGGGGCATGGTGGCATGTGCCTGTAATCTCAGCTACTCAGGAGGCTGAGGCAGGGAACCGCTTAAACCCGGGAGGCAGAGGCTGTGGTGAGTGTAGATCTCGCCACTACACTCCGGCCTGGGCAACAGGAGCGAAACTTCATCTCCCAACTCTGTGAGACTCACCCCTCGGTCTCCAGCTGCGATCGTCATCACATGGAATAGTCACAAGACGCGCGTAGTGGTGACACAGCGACAGCCTCAGCAAGGGCCGGACCTGTGTGCACGCCTATGCGCGTGTGTGTCTGGCAGGAGTGGGCTCCGGCCAGCGTGGCAGCCATGGGCAGAGCGCACGAGGGGATGTCTGGAGCCAGGCGTGGAGTGGGGCAGGGGATATGGCGCTAGCCCAGGTGAGGCTGCGCACCTGCTCTGCTCAGGAGTCATGCTCGGGGCCGGAGGCCTGCTGGGTGGGTGTCCCAAGGCTCTCCAGGCTGCTGGGCGAGGAGTGAAGTGCTGGAGGAGGCACCAGGCTCAGGACTGGCTGGGATGAGGAGGCTGTTCTGCAGGGCACGGTGGCATTTGGGTGTGACCATCTGGCTCTGGTGGTGCCTGCTGGGTGCTGAGTGCTTGTGTTGGGGGTGGCAGCAGGCCCAGGAGAGAATTATGGGCTGGAGGCGTAGCACTGAGACCAGGGCCCGGGTTCTTCCAGGCCATTCCCCAAACCATGTGGGCGCAAGTGACACAGCCCCCCAGAGCGAAGCGCCAGCCCTCACATGCCAGGGCACATCAGCCCGGGGCCGAGCCACGGTGGTCTTCAGAGTTGAGCCGATGGGGCCATTTTCTCAGCTGAGTCAGGGAAGCCACTCGGCAGTCAGCCGCAACGGGAGTGCTCACACCGTGGGCACCGGCAGGCACCATGACTGCAGGTGGTCCCCAGAGAGCTGCTTGCTCAGTATTGCCCACACACAGCTGGGCAGGCTGGCCCTGGCACCGAAGGCCTACTGCTCCATCTCTCCCTTGAGCCTCCTCTGTCTTAGGTTCCTGTGTGGCTGGGATCAGACTGGCGGGGAGGGAAGGGGACCTGCCTACCGGAGCCAGGGGGAGAAGGGAGGTGGCCCCAGGGCTGGAGTGTGCCAGCCTATGCACAGGGTCTGTGCTCCAAGGAGGAGAGCTCCTGCAGCTCCCCTGCCCACCCTCTCCTGGTGGCTGCCCCTGGATGAGTACCTGCTCCTGGGTCGCTGGGGCAGGAGACCCCTTAGCTCCCTCTGCCTCTGGCCCCCTCCTGGTACCCGGCCTGGCAGGCAGCAGTGGCAGATGTGGGACCAGCAGCAGTCGCTGGTGAGGCTCCCAGCTTCTCTGTGCAACTGATGTGCCCTGGCATCTGAAGGCTGGCACTTCACTCTAGGGGCTGTGTCACTTGGGCCCACACAGTGGTCCTGGGAATGGCCTGGAAGAACCTGGGTCCTGGTCTCAGGGCCACACCTCCATATGTGTGATCGCACGTGTGAGTGCACAGGTCTGTCTGCACGTGTGTGCATGTGGGTCTGCATGTGGGTGCATACGGGCATGCCTGCGGATGTACACTGGTGACAGTTTGCACATATGCATCTGTTTGCACCTGTGTGCGTCACATATGTGCACTATGGCGTTAATCTGTTTGCATGTGTATCTGAGTGTACATGTGTACATGTGTGCGTGCACGTGTATCTGCATATGCATCTGTGTGTTCATGCATGTGCATGTGTGTGCATATATACAAGTGTGTACACGTGTGTCTGTGGGTGTGTGTGTCTGCACATGTGAATGTGTGTGGCTCTGAGGGGTACGGCACAGATGTGAGGAAGCAGGGCCATTTCCCCAGGAACCCTGACTGCCCCCTCTTCCTGCCCCGGGTGGGGAGGCCTCAGCTGCATAAAGAGGCCGGGAGCCTCACTAGCGACTGCTGCTCGTCCCACACCTGCCGCTGCTGCCTCCCAGACTGGGTACCGGGAGGGGGCCAGAGGCAGAGGGAGCTAAGGGGTCTCCTGACCCAGCGACCCAGGAGCAGGTACTCGTCCGGGGGCAGCCACCAGGAGAGGGTGGGCAGGGGAGCTGAGCACAGACCGTGCGGCACAGCCCTCTCCTGGGCACTTGCCCACTTTGGGCTGGCTGGTCTGCGGCACAGCTGTCTCTGAGGGTCGAAGATGCTGAGTGTGGCCTCAAATCACGGAGTCTATAACCTTGCTGGACACCTTCCCTCCTGGACAGACGCCTGCCTTCATCCTGACTCCAGCTGGGGACCGTCCGTGGGTTGGGACCGTGGAGGACCAGAAACCTGGACTGGTTGGGGGGAGCCCTGGGACCTTAGGCACCTGGAAAGGGCAGCAGGATCAGCCGGGGGCTGGAGGGAGGATGGAGGTCCTTTGCGGAGGTGCAGGGTGTGGAGGGAGGCGGAGCAGGGCCCCCGGGGACCAAGGGGCTATGGAGACTGTGGACTGGCCGCACTTTCAGGTCTGGGTGCTGATGGTGGTTCTGGCATGGGAGGCTGTGAAGGACAGGGCTGATGGGGCTGCAGGGATTTGGGGGCCAATGGGGCCACAGGGATTTGGGGACTAGGGAGCTGGAGGGGCCAGGAGGGATTAGGTGGCTAGGCAGGCTGGGGAGACTCTCCAGATGCTGAAAACCTCCCCAACAACCTGGGTCCGGCTGGGGGCTGGGGTGGTGGCCACGGGTGCAGTGGACACTGAGACCCCCAGTTCCCACACACTTGAAGGTGCTTGCCTCAGTCTCCCCACCTGCCTTATGAAGGCAGCTCACCCAGCTGGGGCCCCGCATCTGCACGAGCAGGGGCCGGATCAGGTGAGGGCTTTCACTTCCGTTTAAGGGGTTAAGCTCCATGTCATCCGGTGTGTGAGCAGAGGGGCCAGCTGCGAGGCGAGCCTCGAGCCCCAGCTCTGAGCTCTGCGCGCAGACAGCTCCTCGGTGCAGGCCCCTGGCTGACCCCCGCCCTGCCCCGCAGGACCTGCCCGCCCGCCCCTATGACCAACATGAGCTGGAGCTTCCTAACGCGGCTGCTGGAGGAGATCCACAACCACTCCACCTTCGTGGGCAAGGTGTGGCTCACGGTGCTGGTGGTCTTCCGCATCGTGCTGACGGCCGTGGGCGGCGAGGCCATCTACTCGGACGAGCAGGCCAAGTTCACCTGCAACACGCGGCAACCGGGCTGCGACAACGTCTGCTACGACGCCTTCGCGCCCCTGTCGCACGTGCGCTTCTGGGTCTTCCAGATCGTGGTCATCTCCACGCCCTCGGTCATGTACCTGGGCTACGCCGTGCACCGCCTGGCCCGCGCGTCCGAGCAGGAGCGGCGCCGCGCCCTCCGCCGCCGCCCCGGGCCCCGCCGCGCGCCCAGGGCGCACCTGCCGCCCCCGCACACCGGCTGGCCCGAGCCCGCCGACCTGGGCGAGGAGGAGCCCATGCTGGGCCTGGGCGAGGAGGAGGAGGAGGAGGAGCCAGGGGCGGCCGAGGGCGCCGCGGAGGACGCGGAGGAGGCCGGCGCGGAGGAGGCGTGCGCCAAGGGGGCCGGCGCGGACGGGAAGGCGGCGGGGACCCCGAGCCCGGCTGGGCAGCACGACGGGCGGAGGCGCATCCAGAGGGAGGGCCTGATGCGCGTGTACGTGGCCCAGCTGGTGGCCAGGGCGGCCTTCGAGGTGGCCTTCCTGGTGGGCCAGTACCTGCTGTACGGCTTCGAGGTGCGGCCGTTCTTCCCCTGCAGCCGCCGGCCCTGCCCGCACGTGGTGGACTGCTTCGTGTCGCGCCCCACTGAGAAGACGGTCTTCCTGCTGGTCATGTACGTGGTCAGCTGCCTGTGCCTGCTGCTCAACCTCTGCGAGATGGCCCACCTGGGCCTGGGCAGCGCGCAGGACGCCGTGCGCGGCCGCCGCGGCCCCCCGGCCGCCGCCCCCAACCCAGCGCCGCGCCCCCCGCCCTGCGCTTTCCCGGCCCCGGCCGCCGGCTTGGCCTGCCCCCCCGACTACAGCCTGGTGGTGCGGGCGGCCGAGCGCGCTCGGGCGCACGACCAGAACCTAGCAAACCTGGCCCTGCAGGCGCTGCGCGAAGGGGCGGCCACCGGGGACCGCGACCGGGACACTTCGCCGTGCGCGGGCCTCCCTGCGGCCTCCCGGGCGCCCCCCAGGGCAGGCGCCCCCGCGTCCGGAACTGGCAGTGCCACTTCTGCTGGCACCGTCGGGGAGCAGGGCCGGCCCGGGGCCCACGAACGCCCAGGAGCCAAGCCCAGGGCGGGCTCCGAGAAGGGCAGCGCCAGCAGCAAGGACGGGAAGACCACCGTGTGGATCTGAGGCGCTGGCCTGCGAGCTGGCGAGGGGAGGAGGAGGGTTGTGGGGCTCCGGTGGAAACCTGTGACCCCTTCAACTCAGCCTGCCCCTTAGCCGGTGGCCTCAGGAAGACCCTGCCCAGAGGGGCAGCCAGGCTGCTCAGGGAAGGGGCTGAAAGCCGCCGCGGAGTGCCCTGGCTTGGTCAAGGCGGGGTGGAGAGGGGGTCTAGGAGGCAGGAAGGGCCCTATGCTGTGGTCTGAACCCCAGGGGGGCTGGGGCACTGACGACTCCACCGACAACCCCTAACCTGAGCTGGAATGAGTCCTCTGGGATGCCAGCTTTCCCCGGAGCTTCCCTGGAGCAAGCAAGGAGGCCCAGGGTGCCTGGCATGGACATCAGTTGGTGTGTGTGGGGCTGCTTGTCCCCATTCCCTGCAACAGCAAATGGGGCTCCTTCTTCAGTCCTCCCCTTCCCAGCCCCAAACTGAGACCCACTGGGAGCTGGGAGTCTGCGGCGGATGGCGCCACACCCTCAGCTTCTGCGCTGCCGGCCTTCGCTTCCTCTGGGAGACTTGGAGCTCTGCAAAGATGGTGGCCATGCCTTGCAGCTTGGACCAATGGTTGCTTGGGGCCTGGGGGTTTGGCCGTGCCGGGGGAAGGGGGCTCTTCCTGCCCATGGCCTCTCTGCGCTCCTCCCTAATTCAGACCCAGCCTCCGGAAGAAAGGGAGTAAAATAAAACTACCTTTTGTTTATAACCGTGTGTGTACATGTGTATGCAGCTGCACGTGTGGCTGTGTGTGACTGCATCCACTTGTATGTGCACTGCATGCATGTATGGGAGCATGCATACATGTGTATGATGGGTGTGTGTGCATGGCTACCACATGGGGAGACATGGCTTAGCTCCAGGCTGGCTGGGAGAGGAGACCCCTCCCCAGGGACAGGCAGAGGAGGACAGCCACAGAAGAGACCCCGTAGCTTGTCACAAAACCCTCGGGGGCTGCTCAGTGCAGGCAGTGAGCTGAAGGCAGGGGCAGGTGGGGCTGGGCTGCGTGTACCGATGGTGAGAAGGAAAGGACAGCTCAGAGCCCCAAGTCAGAGCCTGCAGGGGTGGCTTTGGTGAGGGGCAGAGAGGGCTCAGGAGCCCTGGAACACTCCAGGTGACTGGCTCCCTGCCAGCCTCCCTTAAACCTGGTGCAGCCTGGCCAGCCGCCCCTCCTGGGCTGCACACCTCTCTCTCCATGGTGTCCCCCAGCCAAGACCCAAGCCTGGACTGAGCCCCGAGTCTCACCCAAGCCTGACTCCCGGCAGATGCCAACTGCAAGCTGAGCCCCTCTCCTTTCTGGGGCTTGCCTGGCTGACCTCCGGCCCCAGGTGAGCCCCGACTTGTGGAGCCACGGACGGCAATGCTGAAAGTGCAGCCTCGGGGAAGAAAGCGGGCACGAACCCCACAGGGTCCACTGCGGCGGGGACCACCAGGAGCCTCTCCAGCACAGGGAGGGGCGGGGCGGGGCTGTGCTGCTGACGGTGCCACCATGGGGGAGACCAGGTCTCTGTGGTGGGGGCCGTGGTGCCCAGCCATGCTGGGCAACTGGGCATGGCTCACCCTTCCTCCACCTTTGGTTCTGTTCAGGCCTGATCAGACAAGGCCACCCTCGTTAGGGAAGCCAATCTCCTTTCCTCAGTCCACCCAGTCAAGTGTTAGTCTCATCCAGAAATGCCCTCACAGACATGCCTAGAATAATGTGGGACCCCGTATCTGGGCACCCTGTGGCCCGGTCAAGTGAATTCAGAGTGAACCATCGCAGGCCAGGCACTGTCTCACGTCTGTAATCCCAGCACTTTAGGAAGCTGAGGTGGGAGCATCACTTGAGCCCAGGAATTCAAGACCAGCCTAAGCAACACAGACCCCAAGTCTACAAAACATTTCAAAGTTAGTGGGGGTGCAGTGGCATGCACCTGTGGGCCCAGCTCAGGAGGCTGGAGTGGGAAGATCACTTGAGCTGGGGAGGTCGAGGTTGCAGTGAGCTGTGATTGCACCACTGCACTCTAGCTGGGACAACAGAGCAAGAGCTCGTCTCAAAATAAACAGAAGCAGCCATCACAGGCAGACTGAAAGGAGAGCCGCTGCTCTGGGGAACTTCAGTCTTTGGCTGCCTATCTAGATATCGACATAAAAATAGGATAGAGCATATTCTGTTTCCCTGGAGAACCCTGACTGTACACATCCCTCACCAGAGCTGCGAGGACAGCTGGAAGTGACCCCTAACTTGGAGGGTGTGTCTGCTGGGACTGCGGAGACAGCACCGCGCGCTGGCGCCTTAAACAGCAGACACGGATTGTCTCGCAGCCCTAGAGGGGAAGGGCAAGACTGAAGTGCGGCCAGGGCCGATTCCTCCCGTGACCCCCTCCTGGCCGTGGACGCCGTCCCCTCCCTGTGTCCTCACAGGCTGTCCCTCTGTGTGCATCTGTGTCCTAATCTCCTCTTCTTTTAAGGACACCAGCCGCTGTGGATTAGGGCCCACCCCAATGAACTCATTTTACCTTAATCACCTCTTTAAAGGCTTTGTCTCCAATTATAGCCACATTCTGAAGTTCCTGCAGGTTAGGAATTCAACACAGGCGTTTTGAGGGGACAACTGCCCGTGATAGAGGGTAGATGCCCAATGGGAAGCTGGATCGTCACGAGAGAAGGGGAGACGGGACGGGAGGACAGACCTCCCTTCTTGGAGACCTGGGGATAGGTGGGCCACGTCGGATTTGTGAACATCTGCTGGTGGGCTTAGGCTCTGCTGCCATCCCTCCCACTGGGATGGCCCTGGCTGTGCAAGCCACAGCCTCCTCGCCATCTGCTAGTTCCCCTCTAAGACCAAGTCCTTGATAATCTGGACGTTCCCACAATGTCATGCCTGAGCCCCGAGCCACCGAGCAGGGCTGGCGTCTCCCACTACGGCGGGTCGTGGTATCTCAGCGGCTCCAGCCTGCGGACTCCCAGAGGCCAGCCCCGTCCCACACACCTGGCGCATCACAGTCACTTGTCAAAAAGCCAAGCCTCGGTTTCCCCAGGACCTCGCGTGGCCATGACGGTGATGAGCGGAGCCTGACACCACAGCCCCCCCCCCCGACCCGCAGCCCTGTGCACAGCAGGACAGAGCCCGGCCGGGGTGGAGCAGGCTGGCGGGCTGGGCCTCCACGTCTCATCTCCATCCGTTTCCACAGCCTCAGCCAACTCTCGGCCACTCGTGGGAGGGCGCGGTGGGGTGGGGGCCGACTGCTCAGACTCCCCCAGAGTGGGCAGTGGCGCTCTCTTTCCTCTAGGAAGGGAGGAAGCCCTGAGGCGAGAATAACAGGAAAGCACCTTCCCCCAACCCCGAAGGACCTGGGAAGCAGGGCTGCGACCCTCACGCCCAGGCGCCTTCCAGTTCTCAGACCCCCGGCCTCAGCTGGTCCCTGAAGCCAGGACGGGGGCCGGGTTTCCTCCCTCAAGTGCCAGGTCCCAGTCTCCTGCCTGCTGATAAGGGGAACAGCAGCCCCGGGCTGGCCAGGCTGGTGTGGAGGGTCCAGGAAGGCTTCCTGGAGGTGGCATGGAGCCAGGCCTCACAGGCTCTGGGGAACCGGGCCGTGGCCCCTGCCACTGGGGCTGAAAGCTCTCTTTTGTTTCCTCTGAGTCCATCTGACCCGGAGTGGCCCCGTTTGGTGGTGGTGGCTTCTTTGGGGTGGGGGGCCTCGGCAGGGTGGATTGGGAGCTGCTGGGCCCGGCCCAGGGCGCCAGGTTGCTGCGCGCCTTTCCTGCTGCCTGTGCAGGGGCGGAAGCAAATTCCTCTGCCGGCTAAGGCCCAGGCTGACGTGAGGCCCGAGGAACTCGACTCCGCCTGTGGGTGTTGTCCCCGCCACCCCCCCACCCCGACCCGGCTGTCATCCTGCCTGGCTTCCGCTCTGTCCGCAGGGGGCTGCCCGGCAGGCACCGGGTCACCCTCAGGAACGCCAGGCTCCAGCAGAGGAAGGGGTGGTGACTGCTGCTAGGAAGCGCATTCTAGACCTGGCCTGTCTCAAAGAGGAAGTGGCAGCTGGCCGGGGACTGAGGCCCCGGGACCTTGGGGGTCTCAGCTGAGTCACTCCAGGCCCCTCACCATGCCCAGCCTCTCTCCTGGTTGGGCAGCAAGGGACCCAGGACCTCACAGGGCTTGGGGCAGGTGGGGAGGCTGTGAGGAGGTTTCAGAAGGGCGAGCCGGAGCTCTGGGGACAGGGACGCTGCAGCGGGGGGAGGGGGCTGACGACAGGGCCTCCATGGCCACGTCCAGGGCCTGTGGGAATTCGGTGACTGCCCAATGTCACCTGAGTCCCTAAGACATGCCAGGTGCTGGCCCAGGCCCTTGGGACTCGGCAGGGAGCTACGGCAGGGATTCTCTGCTTGGCCAAACTCCAGCCAGGATCTGGAACCTTCTCCTAGGCCCATCTGTGCACTTGCTTAGAAAATCCAGTTTTATATTAAGAGCCCTGCCAAGTCGGTTTAGCCAGAAGTCCACACCCTGGTTATCTGCTCACCCTTGGTGACATGCAATCGAGTCCCTCATTTTCCACTGTCCCCTGGTGACGTCTGATCACCCCGCCTGCCTGCGGCAAGGACCCTGTGAGGTGGGTTTAGCCAGATACCCTCTTCAGCCCTGATGTCTCCTCTCAGTCATTCCCACCCACAGACTCCACGCTGCTCCACGGCTTCTCCACTCCCCACCTGCTTTATTGGGGTTGAGCCCCATCTCCCCCAAGGCCCCAAGGCCGGGCCCACACCACATGCTGCGCCACGGCGCAGTCTTCTTCACGGACACTAAGACATGTCATGAGGAATTCTTTCTTCAACAGCTACACAGAGATCTCTGCTTGTCCGGACTCTGCGCCGTAAAGACACTTGGAAGAAGTCTTCGTTGGCGTTTTGAGGGCCATGGAGAAGGGAATGTGTCAACAGGGTACACGGGCCCCAGGAGGCCAGCAAGGCAGGCACAGCTTGGACCAGGGCAGTCACGCTAGGACCGAAGGCTCCTGGGGCCACCTTGTGGATGGGTCACCTACTGCCAGAGACAGTGGCCACTGTACAGGCCCGCTCAGCAGGGGGCCTGGGACACCATGGCAGTGTGCGGTTCCTGCCTAAACTGTTCTCTGTGAGTTCAGCTGTGAAGACATGATGAGAGTCACTGGAAGGACGTTCTGTGGGAGGACAGGCTGGGCTCCAGGGAGGGCTTGGCGTCCTGCGCTAAAGAGGGCTGATGACTCCACTGGTGACCCTGGCCGGAAAAAAGGAGCAGTTTACCAAGGATGTGATTGGAAGCCGTGATTGGGTCTCGTTACGTCACACTGATTAGGAGTGTGGAGGGGCTGTGGGCAGGATGGTGCCTGTCCTTATCCATGGAGACATTTGGGGACAGGGCCTCCTGCAGCCTGCAGCTGACGTCCCAACGGTCCAGCAAATGAAGAAAGGATGACACAGACAGATTGGGCAGAGGCAGCCACATCTGGACAGTTGGCAAACTGGTAGGTACCCTTATAAAAAGAGGAAGCGGGCGGGCACTGTGGTTCACGCCTGCCATCCCAGCGCTTTAGGAGGCTGAAGAGGGTGAATCACTGGAGCCCATGAGTTCGAGACCAGCCTGGGCAACATGGGGAGACCCTGTTTCTACAAAAAATACAAACATTAGTCGGCGTGCTGGAGCACACCAGCTACCCAGAGGCTGAGGCGGGAGGACTGCTTGAACTCCAGAGC